CCCCCAATAGGCTTCACCACGGCAGCATACCTGCGCATCCACGCGGTGAAGGACCATGGGCTCCAGGCCCCGCGGGCTGACCGCATCCTGTGCAAGCTGTGCAGCGTGCACTGCAAGACCCCTGCCCAGCTGGCCGGCCACATGCAGACCCATCTAGGGGGGGCCACCCCCCCTGTCCCGGGAGATGCCCCCCAGCCACAGCCCACCTGCTGAGGGGGACCCCCGCACCCACCAGGCAAGGCGTGGGGCATGGCTGGGGGGAGGTGGTGTGTGTGGGACAAGGGGGCTCAAGGGGCCCAATAGGGGATCTTAGGAAGGCCAGGGATGTCCATCTATCACTCAAGTTAGGGAGACTTCTGGGGACAGGGAGGGCCCTTCAGGAGAACTGGGCAAAGATGCAGGCCTAAGCCTCTGGGAACCAAACAGGAAGTGAGCAACGGCTGTGTCCCAAGGGAGGGAGTCTGGGAAAGAGTCTGGGGCAAGGGGCAAGGCTCTTGCCATTCAGGTGGCGCTGTGATCTGGTGTTTCTCACCATGCAGGTACCGGTGAGGTCTGTCCAATGGCAGCGGCAGCGGCGGCAGCAGCAGCGGCAGCTGCATCAGTGGCAGCCCCTCCCACAGCTGTGGGCTCCCTCTCTGGGGCTGAGGGGGTGCCTGTGAGCTCTCAGCCACTTCCCTCCCAGCCCTGGTGAACTCCTAGTTGGTGAGGGGGAGAGAGGAGAATGGAGGAAAGTCCCTTGGTACCATCTTCTTTCCCCCCTTCTCTTCCTACCAACTCTTCACTGCTTTCCCCACCACCCAAGGAGCCTCCTGAAGGAAAGGAGGAAGAAATGTTTTCTTAGGGGAATTCACTAGGTTTTAACGATTTGTTTCTCCTGCTCCTCTCTTCTCCCTATCAGACCTGACCCCACACACACCTGTCCCCTTGGTTGTGTTGAAGCCCCCTGGACAGTAGGCAGGGGTGGCAGAGGACAGGAGTGGCCACTGCCCTTACCACCTCTCCTCTCTGTAACCCCCTGCCCTGCCCTTCCAGGGATTTGTGAGCCTTCTTCCTTGATGGTCCTTCTTGCTCTCCTTCCAGTCCCCCCCTACTGTCTGCTGCCCCTCCCTGGGGAGTTGGTGCTTTTTTTTTTTTCCAGGGGGAGGGAGGAGAGAAAGGAGGGGAATTAAAGATTCTGTCCTACTAGAGAGGGGGAAAGGTGAGATTTGAGAAGGGACAGAAGCAGGGAAGGCAAAGGTTGTACCTTCATAAGGTGGGGTTGTTTAGGGTCAAGCCCTAAGCATCATCCTACTTAAGAATCTGTCAGGGGAAAACAAATCAAGGGGAGCAAAAGGAGCCACTTGGGCCAGAGGCAGGACAAGAGATGGAACTTTAGGAGGTCAGGGTAAATGGGGAGATCCAGGGACTAGAGGTGCTGCCTGGAGGTGGGGGGAAGGCAGCTGCAGTGTCTCCCCCTTTCCTCTTCCACCCCAGCCCTGGCCTTTTCATCCCTCTCCCCCAAGATAGAAGCTGTGGCCCTGGCCATGTCATCGTGTTCCTGTGTCCCCTGCATGTTCCCTACCCTTCACCCCCTCCTCTTGGCGTGGATCCCATTACAATAAATTTTAAATAAAAACTTGGCTCTGGATTGAATGAATTGCTCTCACCAAAGTCCCTGTTCCACCCCCAAGGGGTTTCTTCTTGGGCCTAGCATCAGTCCCAGCCTTGCTCTGTCTTCTGCAGCTCTTGCTCCTCCCCAGAGGCAGCACAAGTGGTTGCAGCCCAGATTCAGGGTGACGCCAAGTCTCCAGAGGCTGTGGAGAGCAAGTTCCGGGACTCCCAGGGCGGATGGGTACCTAATCTGGACAGGACCAGAATAGCCAGCCACAGCGGGTTTGAAGAGGCCTGGGTTAGAAACCCGAACAGTTGCTAGAACCCAGCCAAATACCTACATGCCCTTAAAGGCCCTGAGAGGTGACTGACGCGGAGGATGTAGCTTCAGAAAGGCTGGGAAGTCTGAGCCCTAGGACCGGGAGCCGTGAGGTTGAAAATAAAACTGCACTTGTCCCTTGGCACGGTCCACCCTGCTTTCACTTGGTCCTCTGCCACAGCCTCTTGGCACTGTTCCAGGCTACTGCAGCCTCTGCCCTACCCCTTGGAATTCCCCCCCCAGCCCCTGATCCTTATCAGGGACCCTTTTCTTGAGCCTTCCAGTACCAATTTCTGCTGCTGCTTCTTTGGTAGAGGTACTTTCTGCGGGCTCCCCAAGTTTTGCCTCATCTCCCTTCCCCTCTTTTCCTCTCGTAGGGGTGCGTCCACCCGGTATTTCCTGTCTCCGTGGACCTGCCTCTCCTCGCAGACCCCTCCGTTTCACTCAACCCTTTGCCTCTGCCATGATCCCCAGTGACCGTTGGCGGGAGGGGCCCGGGACTTGGGGAGGGGATACCCCCAAGAGGTGCGCGTGGGAAGGAGCAGGGAGGTGGCGCGAGTGGTCCCCCAGCCAGTTGCCTGGGCAACACGGCCTGGCACGCGCGGCTCCCTTGGGCGGACCTAGAGGGGCGGGGGCAGCGCCCGTGCGGCGGCAGCAGAGCGTAGGGGAGGGGACCTGAGAGGAGGGGACGAGCAGAGCAGAGCGGAGGGGAGACCTGCAGCCTCCCTCCCTCGCTGACTTGATCTCTCCCGGGCTGCGGCTGCTGCAGCAGCAGCAACGGTGGTGGTGGCGGCGGCGGCGGTGGCAGCTGCAGCAGAGGGAGCAGTCTGGCGGCCAGCACTGAGGTGAGGCGGGAATGGACTGAGGCTATGGGTAGGAGTGGACGGACAGACTGCAGACGCCAGGCAGGGCTGCACTGCACGGGAATTCGGGCGCCCGGCCTACTGGCTGCTGGTGTTGGGCGCGCCAACCCAATGGAAGGAGGAGGCGCCGGGGGCAAGGGGATCCCTGGGAGGGGCTGAGAAGGGGCTCAGAGGAGATGCCCAGGCCCTCAGGGAGGAGGGGGGACATCTGCGCCCCAAACACGCAGCAAGAAAACCGCACCCACTGGCGCCCAGGTAGGAGGGGAGGGTGCAGGAGTGGAATGTGAGTATGGGGCCTCTGCCTGTCGGAGTATATGGTGTCTACACAGCTTAATTCTGAGGTGCTGGGCATCTGCTAAGATCTGGGAGGCCGGATCTTGTTGGGGGTACCCAGGAAGAGACCATGGGGAGGATCCTGTTTACAAAAGGGTTAATCTTCCCAGAGTTCTCCAAGCAGAAGAATTTGAACAGAGCACTCCTCCCCAGAGATGTCCCACCCCAAGGCAAAGGAAACCCCAACTTTTCTTCCTCTCCCCAGAGGCAGCCCAAGGCTGGCCCTGAGACAGGAGCATAACCCTCCTGCTGCAGTGCTGAGAGCTGTTCTTCTCACACCAGGCTTGTCTCCTCCTCCAGGATTTGCTGCTGTCTCTGCTGCTCCATCCTCCCCACAGAGGCCCTCTCCCCTCTCCCATCACAAGATGGCAGCCAGCAGCTCTAAAGTCTCTGAGATGAAGGGGATAGAAGAGGGTCCCCAGACCCAGGGAGAAGGGTCTGGCCATTCCAAGGCTGGAACTGGCCCTCTCCAGGTCCCAGCTGTGGTCCCAGATGAGCCAGAGGCCCTGCAGCCAGGTCCAGACATCACTGTGGCCCCTGTGGACTCAGAGCCCAAGGCTGGGCTGGCTCCAGAAATCACAGAGACCCCAACAGGGGCCCCAGAAACAGCCCAGGCCAAAGACCTTAGCTCAAGCCCAGGAGGGGAACCAAAAGCCAACTCCAGCCCCAAAGAAGCATGCCAAGAGCCAGCATCCAAACCAGAAGTGAGCAAAGAGGCCACTGCAGACCAGGAGTCGGACCTGGAATCTGCAGGCCTGTTTGAGCCAGCCTCAGAGCCCACTCCCCAGCCGGACCTCCAGTCAGGTTCCCAGCCCACCCCCAAGCCAGCCCTTCAGACTGAGCCCCCTACCCAGGAGGACCCCACCCGTGAGGTCCTGACTGAGAGTGTGGGGGAAAAGCAGGAGAATGGGGCAGTGGTTGCCCTGCAGGCTGGCGATGGGGAAGAGGGTCCAGCCCCCCAGCCTCACTCATCGCCCTCAACAAAAAACGCCCCAGCCAATGGAGCACCCCCCCGCGTGTTGCAGCAGCTTGTTGAGGAGGACCGAGTAGGAAGGGCTCACAGTGGGCATCCAGGATCTCCCCGAGGTAGCCTGAGCCGCCACCCTAGCTCCCAGCTAGCAGGATCTGGAGTAGAGGGGGGTGAAGGCACCCAGAAACCTCGGGACTACATCATCCTCGCCATCCTGTCCTGCTTCTGCCCCATGTGGCCTGTCAACATCGTGGCCTTCGCTTATGCCGTTATGGTGAGCCCCACGGGACCCTGGCCCAAGCCTGCTGTGGCTCCCCGCTTCCTGCACTGGAACAAAGCCCCAGGAGTAGCCTGGCTTTCCCTCTCTGCATGGATCTCACTTCCAAATGACAGGACTTCACCCTCTGAGCCACTATTGCCCCACCCCTTCAGGTGGGAGGGGTGTCCAGACGTGTTTCACACAGCCTTGCTGACCTGTGCCCCCTTCCCCCTGCCTCTCCAACTCTCCTTCCTCTCTTACCATGGGTTGGCCTATCTCCTCTGGATGACTCTTTCACCTGATCCGTGCTGGGCTGGCTTCTCCTGACCTGGGCCATGGTGCCCCACTCCTCACCCTAACCTCAGTCCCGGAACAGTCTGCAGCAGGGGGATGTGGATGGGGCCCAGCGTCTGGGTCGAGTGGCCAAGCTCCTAAGCATCGTGGCGCTGGTAGGGGGGGTCCTCATCATCATCGCTTCCTGCGTCATCAACTTAGGCGGTGAGTGGGGGTCTGGGACAGGCTGGGAGGAATGGAAGGGTTGGCAAGGGCAGCTTTACTAACCCCTGACCCTGCTCTCTCCTGTCTGTCTTCCCTCCTTCTCCTTTGTCTCTCCTTGTCGTTGTCCCCCCCCACTGTCTCTGTCTCTGTTCCTCCCTCTCCTCTTCCACAGTGTATAAATGAGGGGCTCTGCCCTGCATTCCAAGACTTTTCTTCCTGTTGGGAGCTGTCTTGGGCCCATCCTCCCTTCTCCCCTGCAGGGAGCCCAATCGATGGCCCAGGCCCGCACCCATAGGGACCAAGGGAGCCTGAGCAGCCTTGTTTACAGCTTCTTTCCTGCTCCTGCATCTTGCCAGGCTCCTGTGCCAACTGTAGGCCTCCCTTCTCCCTGCACTGTTTCCAGTCTCCCTGCACTTCTGCCTGCAGCCAGTCTGGCCCCTTGGCCTCTCTATCCCTGCACTTCTGGAAACCTCCCTGAACATCTCCCAAACTCTTTTTGCCCTCAGCCTTCCTGCATCTCTCCCAACCTTCTTGCACTTCTTCCAACCTCCCAAATTACCTGCACCTCAAACCTGGTCTCCACCCCCCACCCCTCAACTTTCATTGTCTTGTGCCATCTTCCCCCATTCCTTTCTTCCTTCTCTCCTTTATCATCTCTCCTTCCCTCTCCATATGCTCCACCCCAGTCCTCTTCCTGCCTCATCTCCCCCTCAGCATCTTTTCCTCCTCTAAGGATCCTCTCCTCCACCCTGCTGCCACTATTTATTCTGCAAAAACTCCAGCACTTAGATCAGGCTGGGGAAGGGCAGCATGTCAGGAGAGGACTCTCTAGCCTGGGGCTGTTCTCTGCTGGGACCACCCGGGTCCGGATGCCTCCAGGGTGCCACAGGGTCGAGAGCTGGCGAGCCAGGGCTCCTTTGGGGACTTGTGCAGGAGTGGTGAGCGCTGTTCCAAACAGGCACCTGGGAGAAGGGAGGGGTGCAGCTGTTGACCCTCCCTGGTCAGCCTTAATTGACCTGCCTCACCTGGGCTTTTTAACCCAGTGGGCAAGTTTCTTAAAGGCGGGGACTGGGGTCACTCACATGCTTTGTAACGAAAGAACCCCCCAAATAGGACCAAAGCTCCTAATCTCAAGGAGCGAGGGAGGGGCGGGGAGCTATATAATAATTATTTTCTAAGAGCAGGTGGGAGACGTGTTGCACGCGACAGTCGCTAGGGAGGCGGAGACCGAGCTACGACGAGGTTGGGAATTAGCGGGTTTTTTTGTTTTCTGGGGAAAAAAAAAAACCAAAAGTCTAAAAAAAAAAGGATACATCAGACTGATTATCCCTTTTTGTATGCCGGATGCTGCATGAGTCTGAAACACCAATAAATGGAGACTGCATGAAACTCGCTTCTAGCCTCAGTTAGTCCTCACGTTGGTCCGCCAGCGGGTGCGCAAGTCCTGCCCCTTTCGCGGGGGGACGGGCCCCGCGGCCATCTTTCCTGTGGGCCGGAGCGGCGCCCCGGCGCCCACCTGCGCATGTGCGAGCCTTCCCTCGCTCGCGGGCCGAGTAGCTCTACTGGAGCGGAGCCTCCGCGCCATCTCGGTGCGCCTGCGTACTGCGACCCTGCGCAGCCCGCGAGGCGGTCTCGGCTCCAGGTGCGTGCGGCGGGCGGGGGGCGGCGCCGCGAGGTGTGGAGAGGGGCGGTGTGACGGCCGAAGGCGAGAAGAGCGGGCCCGCGGGGAAAGGGGTTCCTGCGGTTCCCTGGGAACCTCGGGTACCGGATCTCAGTCCGTAGGGCGGGGTCCTTGGAGGAAATTGAGCGCCCCCTCCTGGGCACGGGCGGTCTGGTCGCAGGGGCCGCTGTTGGAGTCTGATTGGTTGGAGAGACATCCTTAGGGACACCCCTGGGGAACCCAGTTCCGGGGGGACGGGGGGGTCCCCAACTTAGTATTCCTGCCTCCTATAATCGCAGGGTTCCTTCCCTAGTGGCTTATGTCCCTTGTCCGGGGTCATGGAGACATTGTGGCCACCGCGGCGGCGCCTCTGTCTGAAGAAGGAGAAGTGACCTCCGGCCTCCAAGCTCTGGCCGTGGGAGATACCGGGGGCCCTGCGGCTTCGGCCAATAAAGCCGAGGAAGAGGGGGAAAGAGCCCGGGAGGAGGCCGAGCGTGAGGGGTCTGGGACCGAGGAGGTGCAGGGCGAAGCCCCCTGCGCCGAGGGGGAAGAGCATGCCGAGGGAGAATCCGAGGACTGGTGCGTGCCCTGCAGTGATGAGGAGGTGGAGCTGCCCGCGGACGGGCAGGCCTGGATGCCGCCCCCCTCCGAAATCCGGCGGCTCTACGAACTGCTGGCTGCGCAGGGCACCCTGGAGCTCCAGGCCGAGATCCTGCCCCGCCGGCCACCCACGCCGGAGGCTCAGAGTGAGGAGGAGAGATCCGACGAGGAGCCAGAGGCCAAAGAGGAGGAAGAGGAAAAGTGAGGGCACACCCTTACACCTTGTCCCTGGGCTGCTCCCCTGAAGCCAGGAGGAAATAGGGAGGGGAGGTGGGACCCAGGAGCATGGACAATGGAGGGAGGGAAGAGAGCGGGAGAAAAAGAGCTGGCAGGCTGGGGGAAGCATATGTGTGGGTGTTTGGGGAGACCACCCTCACCCTTCACTCTCTGTCCACCTGTCCCAGACCGCATATGCCCACAGAATTTGACTTTGATGATGAACCAATGACACCAAAGGATTCCCTGATTGATCGGAGACGCACCCCAGGTACTGACAAGAGGGAGGGAAGACTTGGGGGGAGGTGAAGGGCCTCTGCTCCTACTTACCCAAAAAGTGACTCTCTACAAGAAGCCTTTGTGTGGTGCCTTGGTTGCTATACAAAGTGTTGCAAGAGAGAGCATTCACACAATGGTGCTATCCTTTCAGCTTACATTGATAGCCCTATATTTCTTTAAGAGACTATCACAGGTAATTCTATCATGGCTCCCATTTCTTCATGTCCATCTCCCCAGAAGGCCAAGTCTTGCTGGTCATTCATTAATATCTAGATCCACACCCTTATACTACTGTATACATCTCCTAACCTGACCCAGTTTTCACCCTATATGCCTTCCTAGAACTGACCCTTAGAGCCATTCTTGATTTCTTTTTCTCTTACTCCAACATCCACGCCAGCAGCAGCAAGTCCAGTAGCTCTGCCTCCACAACATTTCCAAGTTCATCTGCTACTCTCCACCTTCAACACCATACGCTTATCCAAGCCACCATCTCTTGTCTGGATAGTTGCAATAGCTCCTAACTCATCTCCCTGCCTCCAATCTCAGTGACCAGAATGATCCTTTTAGAACATAAATCATGTTACTTCTCTGTTTAAAATCCTCCAAAGGTTTCCATTGCTGAGGGGAAAGGGGAGAGCATGTCAAGAGGGAATCCACCTGCCGTCGAGGCTTCCAAAGGCATTTCCATTTAAAATAAGAGATCCAAACTCCTTATCATGGCCTCCACCTAATTTCTTTGGCCTCATCTTTCACGTCTCCCCAGCTCTCTACACTCTTTGAACAGACCTCCCTGTTTCTACTCTGAGGCCTTTGCACTTGCTCTTCCAGTGCCTGGGATGGTTTCTCCAGGTAATTCCCCAAGTGATTAGTAACATCCAGGCAAGTGCGTACTGGCTCACTCCCTTTCACGTTTCTCACCTTCCTTTCTCCAGGAAGCTCAGCCCGGAGCCAGAAACGGGAAGCCCGCCTGGACAAAGTCCTCTCAGACATGAAACGACACAAGAAGCTGGAGGAGCAGATCCTTCGTACTGGCAGGGACCTGTTCAGCCTGGACTCAGAGGACCCCAGCCCCAACAGCCCCCCACTCCGGTCCTCTGGGAGTAGTCTCTTCCCCCGGCAGCGGAAATACTGACTGGTGCTGCCTTAGCAGTGTGTGTACTGCTGGGCCTTGGTCTTCCTTCCCTAACCCTGAGTGCTGGGAGACTTAGGAAGAGGAAACTCCAAGCTCCTAACACAGCACCCTGCCACAAAGAGGGCACATGTGTGTGTGTGTGTGTGTTTTCTGTTGAACATCTGTTTAGAGAACTGGACTGAAATTTATGAATCTAAAATAAAAAATACAGCCCTAGCCGGTTTTGCTCAGTGGTTAGAGCATCTGCCTGAGGACTGAAGGGTCCCAGGTTCGATTCCAGCTAAGGGCACATACCTCGGTTGCAGGCCTGATCCCTGGCCCTGTCGGGGCACGTGCAGGAGGCAACCAATCGATGTGTGTCTCTCACATC